CTTTGCACCTGTCGCAAAAATGAATACAATCATAATATTATTATCCTGTCTACTAATCTTGATTGAGACTTGCACCAGTTTGAAGTGAAAAATGCATTCCTTCATGGGAATTTAGAGGAAGAGGTGTACATGCACATTCCACCTGGATTTGAAGATGAATGAACACATGGAAAGATTTGCAAATTAAAGAAGGTATTACATGGATTAAAGTAGTCTCCAAGAGCATGATTTGAAAGGTTTAGAGTAGTTATGATTTCCTTCGGATATCAGCAAAGCAATGCTGATCATACCCTATTCACCAAGCATTGTGAGGGTAAGATCACTCTTCTCATTATTTATGTACATGATATCGTGGTGACTGGAGATGACACAGATGATATGACTAGACTAAAGGAACTTCTTACTCGAGAATTTGAAATCAAGAATTTAAAAAAATTGCAGTACGTTCTAGGAATTGAGGTTGACAAGTCTAATAAAGGAATTTTCATTTCTAAAAAAAATATATCCTAAATTTGCTAGAAAAAACTGAAACGATGGGTTGCAAGCCAGCAGAATCTCCTACTGAAAGTAATCACAAACTACAAGTTGATAGTGGTACATCAGTTGACATAGAAAGATATCACAGATTAGTTGAAAGATTTATTTATCTCTCACATACTAGATCAGATATAACATATTCAGTTAGCCTGGTGAGTCAATATATGCATGACCCTTGTGAGACTCATTTACATGCCGTCTTTCGAATATTACGATATTTGAAATCTGCACCAAGAAAATGTTTACTCTTCTCCAGAAATGACCACCTTAACATAGAAGCATTTACAGATACTGATTGGGTTGGATTTTCAAAAGATAAAAAGTCAACTAACGATTATTTCACACTCGTTGGAGACGACTTGATTACATGGAAAAGTAAGAAGCAGAGTGTAGTTGCCCGTTCTAGTGCGAAGCATAATATATAGCAATGACTCAAGGGGTATATGAATTATTATGGTTGAAAAAACTAATGAATGAATTAAAACTGTTTAAAGAAGGAAACTTATTATTGTTTTGTGACAATAAAGCAACCATTAGTATTGCTCAAAATCCGGTTCAACATGATCGGACGAAATATATCGAGATTGATCGTCATTTCATAAAAGAGAAAGTGGTTGATGGCTCCTTATGCTTATATCATGTGTCCTCTAAGCAATCAGGTGGCAGATATCTTCACTAAAGGGCTTTATAATAAATTCTTCAGAACTTAATATGCAAATTGGACATGTGTGATATCTTTCCACTAACTTGAGGGAGAGTGTTGATATGAATATTTTCTTTCCTAAATAATTGTGATATTTTTCCTATATACTTCTTCCCATTAGTTTCTCCTATAATGTTGTAATTATTTAGTATCCCTACTATAAGGGTAATTTCTCTATTAGTACTTGGGAATTTTGTATATATATATATGAGTTGTCTGTTATACTAAATACATCAAGGAAATAAAGTAAATATTTTCCCCCCAAAGTTCTACAAAATTTTTTTAGTCGAGACTTCTCCCTTATATCATCTCCAGTCACAACAATATCATATACGTAAATAATGAGAAAAGTGATCTTATTTTCATAATGTTTGATGAACAGCGTATGATCAACATTACTTTGTTGATATTCAAAAGATATTATATCTCTTCTAAACCTTTCAAACTATGCTTTCGGAGACTACTTCAACCTATATAAGACATTTTTTAATTTGCAAATCTTTTCTTGTGTTTTTTCATCTTCAAATCTAAGAGAAAATCTCTATGTATACCTCTTCTTCTAAGTCTCCATGGAGAAAGACATTTTTTACATCCAATTGTTGTAAGTCCCAATTAGAGTTGACTGCACAAGATAGCAATATCTTGATTATATTCATCTTCATGATAGCTGCAAATGTTTCTTGATAGTCAACTCTATATGTCTGAGTAAACCCTTTAGCCACCAATATAACTTTATACCTTTCAATCAACTCGTTTACTTTGTGTTTTACAGTAAACACCCATTTGTAGACAATCGTATTTTTTCCTAGTAGAGGTGAAACAAATTCCTAGGTATTATTTTTTACTAAACCTTTCATCTCTTCAATCATAACTTCCTTCCATTTGAGATCTCGTAGAGTCTCTCTAATCTACTAAATAATTAAATAATAAATAAAAATAATTAAATAATAAACTATCATAGTCAATACCCCCCTCAAGTTGGTGCAGCGATATTACATATTCCCAACTTGCAGATCATGTTGCAAGCTGGAACTAGATCTGTTAGGCAACAGTTCGACTTGGGCTCAACTAAAAAACGGCTCGAGATTGGCTCAGAAACAGGTCGACATTGTCTCAAAACAGCTCAGCTCAACTCAAAACAGCTCAACTCGGCTCAAAAAGGCTTGACTCGGCTCGGCTTGACAACGGCTCGACTCAGATATGTCTGGCAGAAGCTCGGCTCGGCAGCAACTCGACTCAGCTCAAATCTATCTGGGGTGGTGATAAGAGTAGATCTGGATAAATGGGTGCTAATTGAGCATATTGTGCTATTTTAGGATTTGAAAAAAGTCTTGAAATTAGAATCATAAAATAGCTTTATTTGGCGCTGATACTATGTAAATTTTTGAAAAAAAAAATAATTTTATTTCTCATCTTTTAGCTTGTTACACTTAAACTATTTATAAAATTCATAATTTACTAATAAGAAAATACTTATTTTACTAAAATTTTAATAATATGAGACAATTATTCTCATAAAATCCTAATTTTATAATACTAAATAATTAAATAATAAACTAGAATAATTAAATAATGAACTATCACAGTCAACAGTTGCATTAAGAATTTCACTAGGAATTTGTTTTTCTAATTCAAGTAAAATTTGATAGGTGAAAGTAAATACCTTACCGTTTGGTTGTTATTCACAACTTTCAAATCAATAGAATTCAAGTATTATTTGTTTTTAACTTTGCTAATTGTGAGTGCTTTTGAAGAGGTTCTTTGACCACCTTATTGAGTTAGGAATTGAATCTACTTGTCGAGGTAATCTCATGGTGTCTTTTAAATTTTATTTTCTTAATTCTCTATTACCTTAATTCACCTTCATAAGTTGATAATAGGTTAAGTAAGAAAAGTTTATTTATGAAATTAAGTTTCTGCATGCAAAACTTAAATGAGGAGCTTTTGATTGCATGTGTTGATCCCATGTTCTGCCTCCAGACACTTCCATGAATGGATTTCGAACATATCAAGTTGTTGCTAGTGGCAACTAAGGAAGCATTAGGTAACCAAGACATTTTCTTAACCTAGGTCATGCAAGATAGACTCAATCTAAAACAATTCTGAAGTGTTTCAATACTTGAATAGGTCTCGCTTGCAACATCCCAAAGCTCTCTCCTATTCATTGTTCATTGCGTTAATAAGCCAAGACATTACTATATGGTTTTTAGTCTATCATTGCTTGAATTTGGGATTGTTCTTTTCAGGAATAGTGATTTCTTTCGTAAGTAATACCAAATTTGGTAATGGGATCAAATTAGGTTTCGAGAGATAGTTGCTTTGATACCATGAAGAAAACTGAGAAGAAAAGTTGAAGAAATCGAGAGAAAATTCTAGGTTTTCTTCTTATTGTTATTGAATTAAGAATGTGCAAAGTACATATTTAAAATCTAGCTACAAATCAGGCCTCAAGTTGATCAACTTTGAGAAAAATCCTCCACTTAAAATAAAAGAAAATATCCAAAAACATTTGGGATAATAACACTCGATATATCATACATTACCATAATCTCTAAATTACTACCTTAAATAAGGATTCTACACTTATTTGAACATTTTTCTGCCTCTATACATGGTAGAATATATTAGACTAAATAGTAATTCATCTACCAAACTTTCCTAATTAATTCTTCGAAGTAAATCTCCTAATTTTAGCGATTTTAAAATCAAGTTAGTTGGAGAATATTTTCTCCGTGAAATAAAGAAACACAATAATTCTAAAATAGAAAACCAAATATTCACAAGGCTGGAGAATATATTCACCGTAGAATAAGGAAACTAAATAATCCTAACATAAACTTAAATATTTACATTCTGACAATGAACTATTCAAATACTTCAACATTCCCTCTCGAATCGAATCCTTGGTAATACCTTGGTTAGCATGTCGGTTGTTTGATGATTTATGGGAGTATAGACGAGACTGATAATGCCTCTCTCTCATGAAATATCTACATTTCACGTGCTTTGTCAATCATGATGTACTAAGTTTTCGCAGTACTTAGCGCAATCTTGTATTGCAAAGTAGAAACACTGACTTTCCTTAGAGATCTTTAACTCTTCCAATATTCTTTATGGCCCACAGACATCCACAAATTCCGTGGGACATTACTTTCAATTTAGCCTCAGCACTACTTCTTGATACAACTGTATATTCCTCGCTTTACTATATAGTCAACAAGCCCCAGACATTGGTATAATAACCAGTTGTTGATCGACGATCTATTACAGACCTACCCAGCCTGCATTAGTGAAAACTTCTGTACTTCAAGTGGTGCTTTTCTGAAAGAATAACCGCTTGCCAAGACTTCCTTTCAATTACCGAAGTATCCCATAGAATGGAGCTAAGTGGCTCTCAAATGGACTCTTCATGAACCTGCTTACCATACTAACTACAAATCCTATGCAAGTTTTTGTATAAGAGAGATAAATGAGTCGCCCTACAAGTTTCTAATATCTTTCCATGTTGACCTTCGGATTATAATTGATTAAGAATTCTTTATTAGGATTTTATTCCTTGTTATCTCAGTCAGCATCTATTCTTCTAATTTTTGTGTTGTCTAACCTATCTCGTCCAATTTCTTGCTCCTTATATTTCACATCTTGATCCCTAATTTCCCACAACCATCTTTATTCTTTTGTTTCTTACATAAATTTTATCTATTTCTAAGTTATATGAGGACAAGTTAGTTTAGTTGCTACTCGTTCTACATCATCTATGTTGAAAGGATGTAAGGCATGCAGACAAAATCACAACTTCCCCAAGAGAACCAAGAGCTATTCCATTACTGCTATACAACACCGCATTACATAAGCATATGAATTTTACACTCAAAACTTCAACAACTACACAGTGACAGATATAGCTTGTTTGGTTATGAGTTTGTAAATGACAATTTGTGCTAATCTGATCAAGTACCATGTCAAAACAAAGACTTTTAACTTTGAAGGGGCATTTCATCTTCAAAAATCAATTAGTTGAGGTATAATTTGTAGTTGTGAGGTGGGAAATTTAGATCAGAAAAATGAATCACATAAAAGATATAGTATATATTTAAACAACATTGCATATTTACAATAAACTGATAAACATATTTCAGGCATGTAATCTATGTGATCATAGAATAAGAACCTCTAATGTGCCTTTAAGCCCACGAGACAATCTTAAGGAAGCATGGTACTTTCCACCACCAAAGTCCAGATCGACATCCAAACATTTAATATTGCTCTTCTGTTTAAGTAACTTCTTTACCCATTCAACACTGTTCACTGGTTTGCAGCTCGAACTAAATAAAGTTAAATTGACAGTAAAGTATATCAGGGTAAGATTAATATAAAAGTTAGCGGTTGATCCACATGGTATTGTAGCCTGCTTGCCAATGTTGTCACAGCCCAGAGAGGTGAATTGATCTGCAAAAAGCTAAAGTTAATCGAAGGTAGAGAGATATTATTATTTCACTACACTTTTTGCTCTCACCTGTCTCAGTTAGAAGTACATGTATCTCTGAGTGCAAAAAGTTGGATACCCGCACAGTTGGCAGAAGAAAAATTTCCTTTTGCTCCTGTAAAGCTATTGGTGAATTTCGATTATCATACCCAACAATGCACTTGTCAGGTTGAATAATAGACACATCTCTTCTTATGGTTTAGACAAGAAAATGCATGTTGCCCACGCATGCATCTCCAGCTTTGAGGGCACAATATGCAGTGCTAAAGGAACATTTTGTAGACTCCATAGATAAAACCTTTTGCACTCCATAGCTTAATTTATCAAAGATTCCAGATAGACGAACTGCCTTTCCACCTTTAAGTTCATTTGACCATTCCACTGAAAGGGGACTCTCAGAGTTTATCCATTCTTCTGGAATTAAAGGTCTGAAAGAGAATAGGAAGTTACCTGCAAGGGAAGGATCCATAAGTTTCAGACTTTCAAGAAAAACAATGAAACATGAAGAATTTCATCTATGTATATATAGAGAATACTTCGAAGAGTTGAAAAGCCAGTAGAAAATAATATTGAAATCTTCATTGTGAAATCACACTTGTTAAGAAAATAATGATGTGGATGAGAAATCTTTGCTGTGAAATCCTCCAAGCTTGGGATTGGATTATGGGTTGACAAGGCTGAAATACTGAAGCAAGCAGAGCTGCTTGTTTCACAGGTTTCCTCCATTTGTGATTTATGTTGAGTTAGGGTTTATGGCACAATGGAGATAACCTTAGAATCTCTAATAAGGTACTCTAAAAAGACTTTTTTCTTCAGAAATCCTTAGCTGCCCTTTATCAATAAAATAGCTTACATATATAGAGTAGACCATGGCAACTAGTTCTCTAATTTGGAGGATGACGATACTATTAAAGCCTAAATAACTTCCTATTTGGTCTTTTTCCAATTTGTAGCCAAGATTCCTAAATAACTTTTAAAGCAGAAACCTAAGCCAGAAATAACACAGGATTAGCCATTAACCATGATGTTCTGCTTACTGCTCCTCTCTTGTGCATTTTTTTACATAATTGACTCTAACATTAGATCCCTAATTTTTAAGATGCTTGTCCTCAACCATTAAAAGATGGTAGCAAACAATCATACCATATCTACAGGCTTCCTGAGCCAATGTTGTAGCATTCCACAATATCCAACAGGTTGACCACCAAGATATTAGAAACTGTGTTCTACCATCGATATTCCTACTTTAGGTGTAATCCTAGATTAAATCTGTACTTTACAGCATAGTTTACAGACTGTATCCTAGTATCGGTAGTTCCTATTTTAAACTCTTTTATGTTAGAAACAATTAAGGAGAAAAATGTTGAATAAAAAATGAAAGAACAATTATAGCAAAAAATGTTGAATAAAACATTAGATAAAACTTGATTACATAGAACTTCTGTGAGTAGTGATAACTTCTCAAGAGTACACCTCAAAGTGAAACATAAAGCTGGTCAAATAAACAAACTAATTGAGATGGTGTAACATGTTTCCATATCTTATTCAGATGCATAAAATAAAATTCCATTACTATAGCAACTACTTGATACTGGAAACATCTCTACTACTTAAAATGAGGACCATATCCCAAAATTAAGACTCACATTATCTTCCAACAATCTCTCACCCCAATAAAGATTCTGACCTCGAAATTTCTCCTTTGCTAATGTTTTTGTAACCAGGTCCTGCCTGTTTAGAGCTGAGATATTTGAGAATAAATTTCCAGCAGATTTGGGAATTAATAACAGAAGATTTATTGGCAAATTTGTTGAGAGATTTTTTGGAAGTAATGTATAGATTCTGTTACAGGCTATAAAATAGGCTGTAATTAGTTATTATGTGAAGAGTAGTTGAAAGTGTACTTTATTAAATATTTTTTCTTTGAAATAAAGTGTACTTTATTAAATATTATTACCCAATATATATATGCTTTCTAAAATAGAAAAAAAAAACCATTAATTAAATTAATTATATAGGATGTATTTTAGTTTAATACCCTTTAACCTAATTACATACTCTCTTTAATATTCCCTCTCAAACTAGAGAGTAGATATTTTCCATCCACAACTTGTCAGTGATAGTCTGAAATGTTGAATTACTCAAGACTTTCAATTCTTACATGTAAGTATATTTCTTTAGGGTTGTGCAAGAAATGAATTATAACATTTATTATATAGGCAATGGCAGGTCTTGTGTGAGAAAAGTATTTTGGTCTCTCAATTAATTTTTGATATATTTTCTTATCTATGAGTGTATCCTCTTCTGCCAATTCCAATTTATAATTGGAATCAGTAGGAGTTCTAGTTGTTTTACATATTAATTTGCTCATATTTTTAACAGGTCATTAATGTATTTCTGCTCGGAGATGAATATCTCTATTTTTGAATGACAATTTCAATTCCCAAAAAGTATTTTAACTTACCTAACTACTATGCTTGTCAGGAGTTTCAAACATTTATCTCTGGTGTGTTTTGGCTACTTGCAAAAGTTACACCAAAGATTATCCCTGTTGTTGGCACTAGATCTGAAATTTCCTATTTGGCTTAGTTCTTTTGTCTACAGGTATTGCTTGAGATTTTTGGAGATTAGCACTGAGCTATCAATGGACTAGGATTTTAACATGATTGCTCTCCTAATCTCTTCTGCTGATAAAATAACAAGTACCTCATTTAGTCATCACATTTCATCTTTAAATAAGATTTGGAACCTTACTTAATCAAATTCCTGGTTGATTCTTGCCAAAAAATGATAGGTCTGATCTTTATCAAATTTTTGAGGTAGGCTGCATCCTTACTACAGTCCATCATAAGGCTCCACTACTGATTCAATTCTTGTCACCAACCTAACTTATTGCAATATTCAGTGACTAACATATTTTCTTATTTTGTGGATCATGTCTTGACATCAAGTCATAAATCTCGGTTGCATCTTTAACTTTAGAATATGTTTCCCTTATTGTGTCTCATACTTCTTCCACTGTAGACATGAACATAATTGTTTTACTTACCTCTAAAGACATAGAGTTCTGAAGTCAGACCATGATCATTGAATCTTCCTCATTTCACGCGTCAAAAACAAGATCCTCTGATTTTGGTTCAGTGTCTAAAAGATGATTGAGCTTTCCTATTCCCTTGAGAGTGATATAAATTAATTACAACCAACTATAGTAGTTCTTCCCAATAAAGTGATAATCAGTCTGGATTGCTTGAAATTCGCTATTGTTTTGGATGGTATTTTCCATGTAAGACTTTGTTCTTGTATTTTAGGATGTAATCTCTGATATATTTTAAGAGTTGAAGGCAATTAAGGCCAAATGAAAGATTATCATAATGATATTACTGGTAGATAAAGCGACTATGTGCCCTGGACAAAATTACGTGGTGAGATTGAGCAGGACAAAATTTTGGAAAAAATGTGCTTAATAGAATGAGTTACGGCTCAGTCTGCGTGTGACTGGCGGAATGTAGCCAAGAAGGCTGGGGGCACGACTGTGGCGGAGCTGGGCGGACCAGACCTGTGCAAGTGCAGGCATGCAGTTCTGGCAACTAGCGGCTGAGTGATTCCTTCTTGCTAGTTCTAGCTGTGAGATTCTTGTGGTGGAGATAGCCAATCTAAGGTGGCTGGCGGTTAGAGAAGTAGTGGCTATGTGACCTGGACCGGGCTGGAGGCGAATGCACAGTAGGCGACATGTGCAGCTAGACTGAACAACTACAGGACTGGCAGAGGCGGGTCACACAGCTGATGGCAGAAGAGGCTGCAGTTGGTTGTGAAGAAAATTGAGAGAAAATATTCTTCTTATTTTGTTGAATGATTTCTACATATATATATACAAGTTTATTACCTTAACAACCTAACAAATTCTGGAGAGAAACCTAACAAAATTCTGTTTTTAAGGACAAATTTGTTGGTGATTTCCTCCATTTACAGCACATAACAGCTGTAAATAACCATTTTTAATCCTAATTTATTCTTCTAATTATTATATTTTCTACACTTCCCCTCAATCTAGTTTACGTATATGTTGAGTAAACCTACATTGGATATTATGTCATCAAAAGTTCTCTTAGGAAAAGTTTTAGTTAGAATATCTGCGATCTGTTGATTGGTTGAAATATGCATCAGAGTTATAGTCCCATCTTCCAATTTTTCTCTAATGAAATAACGATCAATCTCTACATGTTTAGTTTTATTGTGATGTACTAGATTTTTGGCCATACTAATTGTTGATTAGTTGTCGCACCATACTTTCATAGGCATATTGTTGAGAACTTTTAATCCTTCAAGTATTCTCTTCAACCATACACCTTCACAAATACCATGAGCAAGCGCTCTAAATTCAAATTCTGCACTGCTGCGAGACACAACAGACTGTTTCTTGTTTCTTCAGGTAATCAAGTTACCCCAAACATAGGTACAATATCCTGATGTAGATCTCCTGTCGTTTGTAGAACCTGCCCAATCCGCATCCGTGTAAATTTCAACACCCCTTCTGTCTGTTTTTTGAAAGAATAAACTTTATCCTAGAGTTTTCTTGAGATACCTCAGAATCCGATACACAGCACTCATGTGATATTCTGTTGGCTGATGCATGAATTAACTTACTGTACTTACTGCAAAACTGATGTCTGGTCTTGTGTGAGCCAAGTAAATAAGTTTCCCAACAAGTCTTTGGCATCTCCCTTTGTCAACCATTTTATTATTGATTATGGATCCAAATTTGATGATTGAGTCCATAAGGGTATCAACAGACTTGCTTCCTAGCATCCCAGTCTCTTTTAGAAGATTCAGAATGTACTCTCGTTGAGAAACTGAGATCCCCTTTTTTGATCTAGCTACTTCCATACTGAATAAGTACTTTAGTGCTCCAAGATCTTCTATTTCAAATTCTTTGGACAGAAATTCTTTAAGTTTCTGAATCTCCTCAAGGTGATCTCTTGTAAGAATGATATCAACATATACAATCAAAATAGCCTTTTTACCTGATATGCAATATTTGACGAACAATGTATGGTCGGATTGACATTGTTCATATTCTTTATGTTTTATAGCTCTTGTGAATCTGTCAAACCATGCTCTTGGAGATTGTTTTAGGCCATAAAGTGATTTCTTCAATTTATACACTTTTTAAGAGTTGTCAGTTAATTCGAACCCTAATGGTATATTAGAAGTAAGAACAGAGTTTTCACATATTGCATTGTTAGCTTGTCTTTTAGAAGTGTTGACTTAAAGCAAATATAATCCCGAACTCATCCTAGCATTGCCAATCGTCCTCCCCGAGTCCAAATCCTGAAAATTACACATATTAGAAACAAATTTTGCAGCACATTTCAAATTTTCACATAGCTTGCTGACAGACAATAAATTACAATCCAAATTCGGAACATAGAGAACTGAACAGAGAGTCAAATTTGGAGAAAAATTTACAGAGTCCATTCCTGCCACTTTTGAGAGAGAACTATCTGCAATTCTGATTGAAATATTTTCTTCACATCTTCTGTAATTTTGGAACATTGAGAAATCGCCACTCATATGATCAGATGCTCCAGAATCTACCACCCACACCTGTCCTTTTTCTGAAAGAGCAGATAAACCATGAATATTACCTTTATGTGCCACAGAGGCACTGACCGGGTGAGATTTCTTGGACAAAATTTGTTGGAGGGCTTCCAACTGTTCAGGAGTAAATGGGTCTTTTTCCATCTCATCAAAAATTACTTCCTCAGCCGTCACGTGATTTCTTCGAAGCTTTGCTGGAGGTCTTTGCTTTCGACATTTTTCACTCACCTGAAGGTGGTTTCCAGTCACTTGGCTTGCCGTGAAGCTTCCAGCAACATTCCCGAGTGTGCCCTAGCTTCCGACAATGGTCGCACCAGGACCTTGTCTTCTTCGTTCGACTGTCAATCGCTCGGGTTATGAGAGCTGAAGAATTTTCAATCTGGTGAGGTTGGTCATTCTCTCCCATCATGATCTTCCGACGACTTTCCTCGCGTCGAACCTCAGAAAAAACTTCTCGAAGACTCGGTAAGGGTTTGGTGCTTAGATCACATATCCGAATCGCGTCAAGATTTTTGTTTAGCCCTAGCAGGAATTTGAAGACTCGCTTTTTTTCCACAAACACTTTGAAGTTTTTCGCGTCCTCGGGGCAGTTCCAGTGACGCTCTTTGAATGCGTCCATCTGCTGCCAATTTCGACTAAGGATACTGTAATACTGGGTGACACTGAGTTCTCCTTGTCGAAGGTTATGAAGAGTTGACTCGATTTCGAATATTGCAGAGGTATTTTGCTTGCTGGAGTAGAGTTCCTGTGCTGCCTTCCAGATTTCATGAGCAGTTTTGTAGAGAAGAAAATTCTCTCCGATTTCAAGAGTCATTGAGGTAATGAGCCAGGACATGACCATACTGTCTTCGATCTCCCAGGTTTGTGAATTTGCATCGGAGGCTGGAGGAGGCATGAGCTCGCCAGTGAGGTGCCCATAACGCCCCCTTCTGCGGATGAAGAGACGGACAGACGACGACCATTGAAGGAAATTGCTGCCATCGAGTTAATGTTCTGTGATACAGGATGATGGTAGTTCACTCACAGCTCTGGTTGTTGCTGTGTGATGATAAGAACCAGAGGAAACTTCTGGTGGAGAGGATGGAAACTCACCCGAGGCCATTTTTGATTACAGCTCAGTAGGGTTTGATATCAATTTCTTTTTAGATCAGATATGGCTCTGATACCATGAAGAAAATTGAGAGAAAATATTCTTCTTATTTTGATGAATGATTTTCACATATATATATACAAGTCTACTACCCCAACAACCTAACAAATTCTGGAGAGAAATCTAACAAAATTTTGTTTTTAAGGACAAATTTGTTGTATTGGTGATTCCCTCCATTTACAGCACATAACAGCTGTAAATGGTTTCTCCATTTACAGCACATAACAGTTGTAAATAATCATTTTTAATCCTAATTTATTATTCTAATTATTATATTTCCTACAGGTTGTATAAACCAATTGATCAAAATTACTGCAAAACTTATGTCATGCGAGACAAATAAATAAGTCTTCCTACAAAGCCTTGATACATTTTTTTCTCTGCCTCTGCATCTTCTTCTGCCTTTCCCAACTTGAGGTTTTGGCCACTTGGGGTATTTACTGGTTTACATGTTGTCTCGCATGTTATTTTAAGTAGATTAGTCACATACTTCTGTTAAGAGACTAAGATGTCTTGTGCAGAGTGAGTTACCTTGATACCAAGAAAGTATTTCACCCTTCTAATGTTTTAATCTCAAATTCTTTGGGTGCTTCTCTGCTATCATCATCTCCTATTACTATTATGTTTTCCACATAAAACAAAAGGACCATGACGTTCCTTGAAGATGAGTGTTTGATGAACAATGTATGATCTACTTGGCACTGCTGGTATCCCATGGGTATCATAACTCTTGCAAATCTTTCATACCATACCCATGATGATTGCTTAAATACATACAAGGACTTCTTTAAGTTTACACATAGAATGATCATCCAAGTTCCCTTTGTAATTTGGTGGGATATCCGTATATATCTTTTCATCTGGTTTTCCATGTAGAAATGAAATTTTCATATTAAATTACTGCAATTGCCAAAGTTAGCAAGTAATGATAATAGGATTCTTATCGTATTCATCTTTGCAATAAGAGTAAATGTCCCCATGTAGTCAATTCCATAAGTATGAGTATATCATTTTGCTGCCATCTTTGCATTGTATCTTTCTATCGATCTATCTACTTAATACTTTACTGTATTTACTCATTTACAGCCGACTGCTTTTTTCCTACCAGTAATTTCACTAGCTCCCAAGTCTTGTTCTTCTCCAATGCTTCTATTTCCACATTTATAACTTGCTTCAATTTTTCATTGGATAATACCTTGGATATGGTAGTGGAAATTGTGATAATGTTTAGGCTAACAAGACAGGCCTATAGAATGGTGATAACTTTTCAAACAACACAAATAAATATCATAACTGATTGTGACCGTTAAATGAAATTGTGGCCATTCAGTTTATGATCATTCACAGGCAGAAGATTACTTTCCACAAACTAGTTCAGTGTTTTTGAGGGAGCCAGAACCATGACCATTGGTCACACCAAAGGAGGAAGAGTTGTCATGTTCAAACATGAATTAGGCAACCACATGATCAGAGATCACTGTTCCAGAATGGCTGCTCTGATACCATTAAAAAAAACAGAGTATCGAAAAAGTAGAAGATAAAAGAGGAGTTTTTGTTTTCTTATTAGCACATTTTTCTGCAACTATACAAGACAAAATACATTAGGTTAAATAGTAATTCACCTACCCAATTTTTCCTAATTAATTCTTATAATCAAATCTCCTAATTTTAGCTAATTTTTAATCAGCTTAGCTGGAGAATATTTTCTCACTAGAATAAGGAAACAGAATAATCTTAAAATAGGAAATTAAATATTTACATTCTGACAAAGAACTATTCAAATATCTCACCATCCTATTATTTGCATTCCCTCCATTACATTAACAGTAGTCCTTCATGTACCCAATTTTCTTAATAACCTTCTATCCATTTGTCCTCACAAATGAAATTCATCCTACTTATTGTGTCTTTCAGGAGTTGAAAACAGTGAAACAGATTGATCATGTGTTACAAATGTTAATACTAAAGAAGCAAAAAATCCATATACTGGCAAGGTTTATTGGAGGTTCACTCAAGGGGAAAAAAAGGAAACATGACTAGATTAATAGTTAAATTTTTATTTCATGTCAATTATTTAAGTTAATATGGCAATTATATGGGTGCTTTAGTAGTAAGGATATTGACACACAAAGTTTATGTTGAATTTGTTAGTTTATGTTTAAATCATCAGTTTTATGTTTGACATTTTATTTGCGATCTGCTACTCTCATGGAGGCAATTATGAACCTAGGTAGTAGTTATTGGATTCCTAGTTGTAGGCCATATAAAGGCCACCTGGTTTGAGGATAAATTATGAGAAAAAATTTTCCGCTGGAGTTTCTTAAATTCTCTAACTTAATGAGCCCAAACTTGATCAACAAAAGATAGGTCAAAAAGTTAAGAAAATTTAGAATCATTTTGGTTCTTTGATCTCTAATTTCAGTGGAAAAGCACTCATAACTATATCTAGGTCTATAGAATCTTACAAATTAGAGTCAGATCTAGAAGTTATGGGCAATTTCATGAACCATCCAGAAACAACTAGAGAATTTTCCCAAGTTATATCCAGAATCATGCAAAAGATCATTTATATTGTGATCAATTGACTGCCCTGGATGTTTGGAAGAACGGTGATGTGATCCCAGAAGGGACTAAACAAATTCAGAAGAAGGAGGTCTTTCCAACCAAGGATTCTGTCAGAATATTAAGGGTAAAAAAAAAAGAAATAATAAAAATGATAAATTAGTTTTTCACAAGTAACAATTTGGGTTAGGGTTAGAGTTAATATTTTTAATTTACTTTACAACAGTCACCACTGCATTGATTCCGGCCATGACAGTAGCTGTTTTAATTGCTTATAACCTATAAAAGACTCAATCTTTCTATTATAATTAATCAAGGGAAAAGAACAAAATTATTTCTCAGATTTCCTTCTGTGTTTCTCTTCCATTTCTCTTTTCGCTCTCCTTCTTTCTTAAGATTAGACAGCCATGTCAAATACTTCTGACAAGGTGGTATCAGAGCCGAAGAATCCGGAAGCAATCCCTGTGAAGGAGATCGACCTGAAACTCACCATGTTCATGGAAGAATCGCAGTGGCAGTTCAGTATGATCCTGAATCTGCTTCGTGGCAGATCCGCCAATTGGACCGAAGAAAGTTTGGCATGCTTGGTGGAAGCATTCCAGAAAGATGCGAGGTTGACAACTCAAGGGGCCGCACCTGACGGCCAGCCGACCCCTCTTCCGTGTGATGAAGAAAAAGAAAAGATTTAGGGTACACATAAAAAAATAAATTCTAAAATCGGTTAAGCTATTGAACTAGGCGAAACAACAACTACCGAACTAGGTTCGCTAACTTGTTCAATTCGAATCGGTCTAGCCAACATTCTAAACTGAACTGGTTCACCTGCCCCCCTTCTCTTTCTTTCTCAAGTAATAGCGAACGGGAATAAACACCCTAGAGTTCACTCCATCGTTCGCCTGGGCCAACCAACCGGAAAGAGCTACCTCCTAGAAGCTCTGCTCAAGTTCTGCTTTAATTCGCGCGAGGTCAAGATAGGAATCTACAGGTCTCTCGTTCTTCAGATGGGTTCTGATCTGGAAAAGAAGAAGTGTTAAAAAGAAAAGCGAAAGAAGAAGAGGTGGAAGAAGAAGACGTTACCGCAGCAGCACGATTACAACGCCCGGTAGCGGCTGCGTCAGTGGCGTGGAGGGGCCAATCCGTAAAAATTTGATTTTCACGGGGTGGTAGTAGAAAGCTGCTTTAAAAAAATATATATCTATGTATATATATATAATAAAAAAAATTTGATTTTGAAGTAGAAACAGTAGAAAATTGCTTCAAAAAAAAAAATATATATATATACATATATAATAATTAATATATATATATAACTACTTTAAAATATATATAAATGAAAAAGAATTAAAAAACCTGCTTTTAAAAAGATATAATAATAATAATAATATGTTATATTTTAATCTTGGGAACAAGGTTGATCCTGAAGGAGAAGGTATTATCAGGATATTAAGAGTAAAAAAAGAGAGAAATAATAAAAAGGGTAAATTAGTCTTTTACAAGTAGATATATGGTTAGGGTTAGAGTTAACATTTTGAATTTACTTTACAGCAACCACCGGTGCATTGATTCTGATCATGATAGTAGCTGTTTTAATTGCTTATAACCTATAAAACACTCAATATTTATGTTATAATTAATCAAGGAAAAATAATAAAATTATTTCTCAAATTTCCTTCTTATTTCTCTTCTATTTCTCTTTTTTTATTTTCTCAAAATCAGACAGTCATGTCAAAAGCTTCTGACAGATTCTCACAAGTTCAAGGCCAAAAAGGAGACGAAATCCAAGCCTTCATCATGGTTCCTAAATTGGACTGTCTCAAAGAAGAAAGTATCAAAATCTCTAATCACTTTTCCAAACGGGATTCTTACCAAAACAAGCGAAAGATAAGACAAGAGTATGAGCTTAAGGCCCATGAGAGAATCTGAGGGCTTGATACATAGAAGAGATATTTATATATAAAAACATAAATTATCCTATTAATATTAGGAAATTAATTAATAATTACATAATAATATTCCGTAATATATTTTATAACATTCTAACATTTATAAATATTTAAGATGTAACAACATAAAATGTGTGAAAAAAGTTTATATTTTTCTTTCAAAATTAATATGATATCAGAAATGTGGCGATTTCCCGGTGGAGTTTCGTGGTGAGGCTTTAAGAGTAGTCGATCAGGCCTTTCTAGACCTGGTGGTAATGGCAGTGTCGACCACCTCTAGCAGGTGATTGGTGAATAGTTCTGACAGTTATTTTAGAGTTTTTTTTTATTTTTTTTTCCAAATAGATTTTAGGACTATTTAGGTGTAAAGTTTTGAGAATCTAGGCATAAAATACTTTTAGCTCTAATACTAAATTGATTTAGGACAAATTAGTGTAAAATTTGCCTACTAAGAAATTGGAAAAAAGAACGTAGATATGAAATCTAGCGTTCTTATACAAAACACCTAAGGGCTAATTGAATCACATAATCAATTATGAGAAATTCTCAAAAGGATAGTTAAATGATTAATAAGTAAAATTATAAAGCTATTATAATAATATCTAAACAACTTTTCTAACTAGTATTAAAGTAGGAAATAATAATCTAATAGAATTAAAAATATTAATCCCATACAAATAGAAAATAATACTAATAAAAATAAATTTCTAACGCTAATAAGACTCTTAAATAATAAACTAAAGATACTCCAAAAATAAATAAAATCCTATTATGGCTATGTGCCATCAGAAGAGTACATTCTTGCATCGAGATCTGGAAAAAGAAATGTATATGGAGATCCCACTAGCATTTGACAAAGGAGCAAGACCACGTAAAGTTTGTAAATTGAAAAAGGCACTCTATGGGTTCAAGCAATCACCTCGAACATGATTTGGTAGATTTGGAAAGGTTATGACAAACTTGGGATATAAGCATACTCAAGGAGAGCACAATTTGTTTGTCAAGTACTCTGAGATAGGAGGAGTTACTGCTTTTCTATTATTTGTTGATGACATTATTGTAACAAATGATGATGGAAAAAAATTTGATGTTCAACCAATGCATGGTTAGAAAATTCAAATCAATGACCTACATAAGTTGCGGCACTTTCTTGAAATTGAAGTCGCCCGCTCAAAATCTGGGATATCTTTTCCCTTCTTTTTTTTAAAATATCAAGTATATAGTGTAGAATTAATAACAACAGAAATACAACCATAACATATTAAGAGATACAAGCAAACTAGCATGTAACTCAACTAGTACTTCCATTAACCCAATCGTAAACTTGAATTACCAAAAGAGGAAACACTAGTAAGTAAGGAGATAAATTAGAAATTGAACAGGAGACTAATATACTCCCCAATTTAAGGGAGAGTGTTAGAGAGAATATGTGATTGAGTTAAAAAATATTAGGATAAAATACACCCTATTTAAATAATGTAATTAATAGTTTATTATATCTTCTATTCTAGAAAACTTATATATACATAGTTGTGATATTCAATAAAATATGACACCCAATCATTCTTGACAGATTCCATACCTGGAAAAGAGCTCTTTCTTCCACAAGAGAATAGTGAAGGGTTCCAGTTAGAGCGTACATATTTTCCCCGCCTTCGAACGCAAAATACAAGTGTTGGTGTACATCTTGAATTGCTACAATTGCTCCTGCATGTATAATGATGTTGACTACGGATTGAAAAAAGTTTGAAAGCAGTGGGAATTAAAAATGGCAAGATGTTAAATTACCATCAGGAACCATTGCCTCGGTGTTCGCATCAGTTTCTTGGTCGTAGGATCGATGATTTTCTACTGACTGACCATTCATCTCTGTACTGGACAATCCAGAGAAGTGTGAAACCATGGACATGATCATCTGATGCATCAAAATAGGTAACTCCCAGTGAAGCATTTCTAACAGTCAAAACTAAGAAGAGAATGTGTGTATGCTTTATGATAGTGGCGTCAAAAACTATTAAATAAAACCAGAAAAACTCGTACAACTCTCACCTGCAATTCATACAGAGATATTGTTACATCAAAACCTGAAATGTAGCCACTTCCACCCCAAGCCTGTTTTAACTCCAGAGGATTGTTTTTAGACTTCACAACAGATACAAAAGCACCTAAATGTTTCAATATGTAGTTCTGATGACATATGCAGAACGCCTCTGATGACAATACACACTCATCCACAGCAGATTCTTTCTGGGAAATGGGATCTTGTGAGCAACTTGCATAATCAACTGAACCACTTTCAGCTCTTCATGGAGAAGCTTCAGTGGAATCACTGGTTGCCAAATGGGAAGATAGTTCTTCCGAGTCTAGAGAAAAAAAATGAGGAATTCTGTTTCCATTTCCCAGGTTCTTCTGAAGAACTTGAGAAAGAATCAATATCCGAGAAATTTCAAATATAAATTTCTTTTGCCTGTTTTCCAATTTATGATCGGAATGGATATCAACTTCAAGAACGAGTTCCCAAATACCATCTGCATGAATTAATTTATCATTAAATATGATGCGAAGATAACATATAGGATCAAGTAGGATTGAACAACAACAAAGGCCAAATGTACCAGATCCATCTTCAACAACAAAAATGAGATCACACTGAGACATGTCTAGAGAGAAGGTCTCTGAAATTTCCCAATGGATTTGTTGAGATTGAATGAGAATCTCTTGGTTGTATTCTGTCGCAAACCTATTTTCCAGTCCAGTCATCGTTACATCAACTTCAGATGTCTCATTGTGGCAAAGAGATGATTGTCGAGTTGATAATAGACTAGTAATGCAACTGAAGTACAAAGAAAAATACTGAATGAACATAACCAAAGCTTTTGGTTCAAGGAAAAGAAGGCCACCCTGCCCAGCAGCATTAGTAACTCCATTAAGAAAACCGATGATTTGGGCAGTCAGGATTTACATATAAGACATCTTTAAGTTGCATAAGTACAGATTAACAAGATAGGCTCAAATAAGCTGCAAAAAACTAAAGCATATATTTAGAGAAAGAAGTCATCACTAATCAAAATGGTTTCACCTGGATGTTCCAAGAGATAGTTTCGAACTTTTCCCCAATAGAAAGTGATGATAGAAGCTTCTTGAACTGATGTACTCCAACCAGATCACGCTTCATCAAGCATCTTGCCATAAATACCTCACTCAAAGCTACATTTATGAGTATCCAATGACTTGAGACCAGTGCTGGGCTGTTTGAATCAAATGCTGGATTTTGAACAGAAACAGAAGACTGAACCCTTGACCTTCCGTGTTCATTTATGGTCTGTGAATTGTCCAACATGTATGATGTTTTACCCATAGAAATAGAACCACCATGAGTTTCATTTACACTTATTGAAGATGCCGATGCATCCCTGGGACTCAACCATACGGTAAATACACAATTAGAAATAGTTGCTTCATACAAGCAATTATGTGACTCAAGCAACAGATTTCTCAGTATAGACAGATCAGAACACTTGGGAATATGATCCTTATATCTGAAAATTACGGACTGAATTTCACGCAAATCAATGCTAGCTTCAAAATTTTTTTTGTAAGTTATTTCAAAACATGTTTGGAGAACAGAAGACCAAATTCCGTAATCAGGCAAGATAAAATCAGCCAACTGTTTGGTAAATCTGTCCATCTGGCTGTTTGCACCAAGGCTATGGAGGACTAAATCCACTGATTTTAACTTAAATTTGGCATTCATCAAGAGAAGGGTTCTACTGCAAATCAAAGAAGTTCCCTCTGCAGAAGTTTCCTCATTCTCATGTTCCACTGGTACCATTTCAGACCTCACAAATTCTTGACGTGGTAAATAACCAACCGAATGAAAGTTATTAAGAACATGTGATAGCACAGAAAATGAACCCAGAACCACCTGTAAAATATACATATCCTTAAGTAATAAACGGATATAACCGTAAGAACGCATCCAACTAATCACCAAAAACTCTCAAAACAATCATAATGGGCAATGAGCTTTGACATGGTGATATGACAATAAAGGCAACGTAGGACAAAGAGAGCTTAAGTAGGAAACTTTAAGAAAGTTTATTAAGAACCAAAACTGAAAATCTCATATCTCAATGATCAAATCAATTACTCAATATTTGTACAATAATCATAAATAGTCTACAAAATAACTAAACTAAGTACCTTATTTATAGAAACTAACATACAACCAAAATTAGAGTTCTTAAATGAAGTGCATAACTAGATATGAAATAATAAATTTATACTATAAATACTAGTTCATAAATCAGCTAATACTTTAGGAAGCATAAATATTATAATTACATAACTATATCTTGTTATCAGAATATGTTTATGTTAAAGAAATAATAAATTAGGTTAACGGGTATAAGTGTAAAACACTACCTATTTAATTAATTGTACTTAATTATTTACTTCCTTTTTCATCCTCAAAACCTACATATATATGGTTGTAATATTCAACAAAATACACATGAATTATTTTTAACATGGTATCAGAACCCTAAGTAAAGAAATCCTAAACTTTTTTATAAATCTTATTTGGTCTTTATTGCCAAAATAAGAAAACTCTAAAGGGGACTAGCCTTCATTATCAGCTACCACAACTCTAGCCACCGGCCACCACTAATGGACCATCTCCACCACAAGCCGATATCATAGCCGGCCATCTCCACAAAGACCAACCTTCATCACCAGCTCTAGTTGGCCCAAACGTGCATACCATAGCTAGGTCGCTCTCAGTCGCACAGTTTGCTCAGACGCGCATAGCCAAATCATGGTTGCTCTCAACCTCGCAATTTCCCCAAACAAGCAACCCTAGTTGTCACCATTGGCGTACCCTTTAACCGCATCACACACCAATCTGCACGTCTGTGTGTCACTCCTAACAAGGTTGAAAATCTATCTATCGTCGCTCTTCTGCGAGCCATTCCTCCGTGCATCTGTTTGCTCTGTCGGTTCATCATTCTCTGCACCAGAACCGCACTCTGACAGGTGGTTAGCCACTTCCACTCAACGTTGCTCATTCCAAGCGGCCTCTCTGTGCAACTATACATGCTAGCCACACCCTCCAGCAACACTAGTATTTCAGCCACCATCGTTAACCCTAGTTATGTCCAGCTTGTATTTCTAGTCTAGATTCACAAATGTCAAAGGTTACGTCTCCATCCACGGGCACAGTCCCTCACAAGGAGAATATCATTAGCAAATTTCAGCTAATCTAGACTGTCTACCAGTTCGCCAAAAAAGATTATCTAAGTTGATCTCAAATAATTCGAACCACCCTCAAAGGAAAAGACAAGTTCCACCATCTTCTGGGTACCAAACCAAAATCCTGAGACATGATAGTCAAGCAGTCTCTCAATTCAAAAGAGTAAGAGTTAAAGTCAAAAGAGAGCTCATGTGATAACCTCATGCAACCACATCCCAAACTTATCAAGTTGCCTTAGATATAGAAGTTTACTTGAAATATCAAACTTTAAGGAAACTTGAAATCTCCCATAGAAAACCATCATCTAGGAGGAACTCTTGAACAACTTATAATGTGTGAACAGGTTTTACATGACGAACCTCAAATCAAGAAAAATTAGTTTCACACGAGAGGTAAAAAGATAGTCTACTTCAGGTGTAAAGACTACGTTGGCAATCTAATTTCATTGTAATTGGCAAGAGAATGAATTTTATACTCAAACAAACACTCCAAATTTTATTAATAAAAATAACACAAATTTTATAATACTGATTAAATAAAATTTCACACCTCAAACTTGTTATGCATTAACTTATTGAAGCTAATCAATATCATTCAATTTTTTTACTTCATGTTCCCAATTGTTTTTTTTCACACTTGTCTGTATCTCTCTTCTGTGTACACCTATTTATATAAGCAGAAAGGTTCCCGTTTTGCCTTTTATTCTTTATTATTACCAGTTTACATTTTCCCTCTTTATTGTTGTCATTCTCCTTTTTACTATTGTCGTTATTGCATTTTCCCTCTTTATTTTCTATTGTTTCACCTTCTCCTATTTTATTATTAATTAATTCAAATCTAACTTTTCAACATTAATTAAGTCAAGTTTAATTTTCTATCATTCTCCCTTAAACTTGATTTAATTAACCCCAACATCTTCTTTAACTTGATAAATATATCTGTTTTAAGTCTTGTAAAATATCTGCGATTTGATCTTCAGATGTACAATACTCGACCGCAATCTCTTTATCTTTCACCAAACCATGGATATAATGATGTTTGATGTCGATGTATTTCCTATGACCATGAAACATTGGATTCTTTATTAAGGCGATAGCTGATTTATTATTACAATAGATTGTCGTTGAACTATCTTGCTGATGTTCTAACTCATTAAGTATTCTTCGTAGCCAAACTACTTAAACAACGCAACTTGCAGCTGCTATATACTCTGTTTCTGCTGTTGAAAGCGCTACTATCTGTTGTTTTTTAGAGGACCAAGACAAATGCACCTGAATCAAGATTAAACACATAACCTAAAGTACTTTTCCTTTCTTCAGTATTGTCTGCCCAATCACTATTTGTATACCCAACTAATTCCATTTTGTTAGCGGTTGAATAGAAAATGCCATCATCAAGCATTCCTTTAATATATCTCAATATTTTCTTCACAGTTTGCCAAGGAGACTGATTTGGTGATTCCATAAATCTACTCACAATACCAACTCCATAAACAATATCAGATCTAGTTGTTGTTAAGTATCTCAAGCTTCCAATAAGTCTTCTGAAGTTTGTTGCACCAACTAAATCACCGCTACCATCTTTCACAAGCTTTAACCTTTCACCCACTGGTGTTAGTATTGGTTTACAGGCTTTCATCTTAAATTTCTTCAAGATATCTCTTGCATATTTCTTTTTACAAATGAATATATTTTTATCTGTTTAATTGACCTCAATACCAAGAAAAAATTAACCCCATATTTGTTATCTCAAAGTGGGCAATCATATCCTCCCTAAATACTGACATAAGTCTTGAATTATTGTCGGTGATGATCAAATCATCCACATAAAGGCAAACAACAACAATATCTTCATCTTTGTTTGTCTTGATATACAGAGTATGTTCGTACGGACATTTTTGGAAACTATGATCAAGAAAATAGGTGTCAATACGAGTGTACCATGCCCTTGAAGCTTATTTAAACCCATAAGTCTTTTTCAATTGATAAACTTTATCTTCTTCACTTTTCTTTTCCTAACCAAGTGGTTGTTCAATGTACACTTTTTCTTTGAGTACACCATTTAGAAATGCTGACTTCACATCCATTTGATAAACTTTCCAACAATTTTGTGCAGCAAGTGAAATAATCATATGCACATTATCCAATCTAGCAATAGGCGGAAATACTTCAAAGTAATCAATACCTGATTTTTGCTTGTATTTTTTTGCAACTAGCCTCGCTTTCAACCGTTCTACTTCTCCATTAGGATTGTACTTTATTTTGTATACCCATTTGACTCCAATTGGCTTCTTCCCTTTCAGTAGAGTAGTTAATTCCCATGTATTATTCTTTTTAATAGAAAAAATTTCTTCTTCCATTGCTTTAATCCACCGATCATCATTAGACGCTTCTTCGAACACAACTAGATCACAGTCTGCAAAGAAAGCATAATGAACAACATCTTCATCATTATCGGGATCATTACTAACTTCATAATCCTTTAAATAGGCAAGTGAACAACGATCTCGTTGTGAACATCTAAGTACAGGAGGAGATGAAGCTTCTAGAATGACACCAGATGATTCTTCAGAAATTGGAGAAGACTGCCCACCAGTGTGATCACTTTGTTTCTATTTTGTTATTTATGAACACCGGAACTGATAACGATCTCTTTTCTTCTTTTGACCATTTTCATTCTCTATCTTCATCAAAAGTAACATCACGGTTAATGATTACCTTTTAGGTCTTTGGGTTATACAGCTTATAGCCCGTTATTTCCATGTTGTAACCAATGAATATGCATTTGTCTGCTTTGTCATCAAGTTTCTTCCTTAACTCATTTGGTACATGTGAATAAGCAATGCAATCAAACACCCTCATATGGCTCAAATTAGGCTTTCATCTGCTCCATATTTCTATTAGTGTTTCATCACGAACACTTTTAACAAGACATCTGTTCAAAATATAAACTGCATAAATAACAGCTTCTGCCCAAAAACTTTTAGGTAACTTCTTACAATGCATCATACTTTATACTATGTCCATAATAGTTCTACTTTTTCTTTCTACCACTTCGTTTTGTTAAGAAATGTACTTAGCTGTTAACTGATATTTAATTCCATGTTTTCTTAAGAAATCATCACAAACAATATATTTCATATCTCTATCAGTTCTTAAAATTTTGAGAGAATAATCACTTTATCTTTCAATATATGCCACAAAATTCTTAATTACTCCACATGCATCCGATTTATGCGTCAAAAAATATGCTCATTCCTTTCTACTAAAATCATCAATGAAAGGAATGAAATACTTGTTACCTCCATTAGAAGGAACATCCGTGTAGCATAAGTTTGAATGCACAAGCTCAAGTGAGTTTTTGGCATTCCATGCCCGTTTTGTAGGGAATGGATCTTTGTGCTTCTTCCCCAAGACACAATGCTGCCAAAGTTGGTCAGGAACTTGAGTAATTGGTAAGCTTAAAACCCACTCCTTATTTGCAAGAAATTTAATGCTCCCAAAATCCAATTGCTCGAGTCGCATATATCGTAGCCAATTATCATCAATAATTATAGAATTACAATAAGAGGCATTACCATAATTGATTTGCGTTAGAAACAAACAGTTAGATGACATCTTTGCCTTTAGGATCATTTCTTTATTTGTGTCACTTATAATGCACCTGTGCTTGTTGAAACACAAGTTATAACCTTTCTCTACTATTTGTCCTACACTCAACAGATTCTGATAGATAGTAGGAGCATAGTAAACTTCAGAAATATAATCTGCAGACCTATTGTAAAGTTTAATGACAATTCTTCCTTTTCCTAAAATTAGGACTTCGTGATTGTCTCCTAATTTCACCGAAAAACAAAACAATTCATCTAATTCAGAGAATACTTCCTTATTTCCACTCAAGTGATTGCTAAAATCTGAGTCTAATAACCACTAACTATTGTTACTTTCATTACTATCATGAGTTGGCATTAACAAAGTCGTTATATTATCATTTTGGGCTACCCCGACCTGATTTTCTCTATGTTATGATCTTTTGCACGACACCCTCTACTACAATGACTATATCTTTTGCAATTATAGCACGAAATATGTGACTTGCATTCATATTGATAATGAGCATTCTTTTACATTTATGACATTGGATACGAGACTTATCTTGAGAAGATTCACTCTCTATTGCTTCTTGTCTTGAAATTGTTCCAAAATTTCCTCCTCTCCCACCTCTGAAATTTGAGCCTTTTTTATGATCCAGACATTTTCTTACTCGTCTTTTAAATTTATTTTAGCTTTTAAAGCTTGTTCTATTGTGCTTGGAGACCTTTCATTCATCCATATCTCGCATGACTCTAATGAAACTTGTAAATCATTAAGGGTCATGGTGTCTAAGTTTTTGGATTCTTCAATGGTTGTCACCACGTAATCAAATCGACTAGACAATGTACGTAAGATCTTCTCTATGATATCTCTCTCATTTATTTGGTCTCCATTATTTTTCATCTCATTTACTAATTTCTCCATTTTTGAAAAATAATCATAAATGTTTTCGTCTTTTCTTTACTCCATTAACTCGAACTGTTTTTTTAATCCTTACAGTCGCATTCATTTGACTGGATCTGCACATTCATATGTTTTCGATAAAATATTTCAAGTCTCTTTTGTTGTTTTGGCATGAAATATTTTTTTCATAACCGACAGTTTCACAAACTGACAAATTAAAGATAAAGTCTTCTTATTTAACAAACGATCGCGAACCAAGTCTTGTAAACCTGCTGCTGATGGTTTTTCCTTTTCAATAAAATCATTATCTAGAATTTCATCATAACCATTGCTTCTCGAGTATAGCTCCATTAAGGGCTTCCACATCGCAAAATTATTTTGCCATCAAACTTGAAAATTGATGACTACACTTGTTGAATTTGGATTCCTGTTATTGAATTGGAAGCCATAGTAATCGAACCTTACGCTTTGATACCAGATGTTGGCAATTTAATTTCGTTGTAATTGCCAAGAGAATGAATTTTATACTCAAACAAACACTCCAAAACTTATTAATAGAAAAAATACAAATTTTACAATAGTTATAAGACAAAATTTCACACGCCAAACACATTATACATTAACTTGTTGAAACTAATTAATGTCATTCAATTTTTTTACCTCACGTCTCCAATTGTTTTCTTTCTTCACACTTGTCTGTATTTCTCTTTTATCTACAACTATTTATATAGTAGAAAGTTGTTGTTTTACCTTCCATTATTTATTGTTACCAGTTTACATTTCTCATTTATTATTGTCGTTCTTCTCTTTACCATTGTCGTTCTTGCATTTCCCCTCTTTATTTTTTGTTGTTTCCCCTTCCTCTACTTTATTGTTAATTAATTCAAGTTTAACTTTCCAACATTAATTATGTTAAGTTTAATTTTCTAATAGGCTAGACCATATGGATTATTGGCGCCGTCAAAACAATAGGTCTCGTATTCGAATTTAGGAAAAGGAAGAAGAAGATGATGTTTCCCTTAACGATGATGACTTGGCTGATGACAACCATGGTGCAGACACTTTCCTTGTATTTATAGTCAGGTGTATCTTTGCAACACCTACACTTAAGGAAGAAGATTGGCATCGTACTACTATATTTCAAACTCTTCTAAGATGTGGATCAAAAGCCAAAAGCTTGTCATTGACGAGTGAAGTTACACGAATATAGTATCTACGTTAACCATAAAGCATTTCAAGCTTCCCATAAAACAAATTCATAGTTATACAAGATAGCATGGATTGATAGACAACAATTCCGATAACTCAACAATGTCTTGCGTCTTTTGGTAAGCATAAAAATATCATCTTATGTGATATTCTCGTGCACGTAACTCATATTCTTCTTAGTAGCCCTTAGCTATATGATCACAATTTGCACATAAGTGAAGGGAAAACACATATTCCTTATTCTTTTGCAACTCGAGCACAAGAGATGTCATAAACTTTAAAGCAAAAAAGACTAGAAAGTTTATAACAACTGATCAAACAAAACAACTCCATCTTTTGTCGATAAAGTAGTTTGAAAAGGAAAGCAAAGAATCATAAATTATTTAGGCTATTGTAAATCGAGAAGTAAAGAAACTAGCAGCTTGTTCAATAAAAACAACATAAGTAGAAGTGACTAAGCTACTGTCTGACTTAACTGGCGTTGCTCCACTAGATCTGCCAATTGAACTTCCTCCACTTCATAGCATTCAACATGCAATCGACTTAGTCTACAGCTCAATTGTCAAACCTACCAACATACTGTATATATCCAAAAGAACATATTTAGCTTAAGCGACAAGTTGATGAATTACTCTGTAAAAGATATAACGAGAAAGTTTACATGTATTGTGCCAGCACTTACAACCAAAAACAATGGGGCCTGGAGGTGTGTCGATGGTTGTGCAATCAACAAAATTACTATCAATTATAAGTTTCCCATACCTCATCTTGATGACTGTCAGCTACTTTTGACATGCACCTGATGATTCAAGTGCCAATTGAAGAAGATTAGAATTAGATCATTAAGAAATAAGGGAAAGAATGACAAGAATGAAGAAAGATGACTAGAAGAAAAGAGATTCGATGAAAAAATACTTGATATTAAGCTGACCATATGAAGATTTACAAAGTACAGGTATTTAAACTCGAAAGAAATTATAATCACCATGAATTGCCCAAAGTCTCCAGAAAACCCGAGAGACGTAGAAACCCTAGAGAACGAGTGAGGACCTAGCCTCATTCGTTTAACCTAACCTTAACCTTTTCCCCTTAAATATGCTTCTTGATCTTTTACCATGTAGCCTCATTAATTCACAGATGGCAAACACATAACCCTTCTTAATCCCCTTCACCCGATGATTGACATGTGCCCCCTTTTCTCTTCAGATGGAAGCACATGTTTGACTCCTCACACATAAACCCTAATTGCTGTCTGTCTTCTGTTTCACACTTCATCCTCTTTCCTACGCGCACAACTTGATTCCCTGTTTCCACTACTATTTTCCTCATTGTGCTCCCACCTTTATCCCCTGCTTTCCGAACTACTTTTATCCTGGTGAGCTTGGTTCCTTACAATGACATGCGAGATCACATGACAAGTTCCACATACTTTTCCATGATAGATTTGAAAAGCGAACATCACCAAATCTGCACAAGATTAGGAGACAAACATAAAACGACATTCAAACCAAAAGATAGCCTATATGAGTAGTTAATCATGTCATTTGGATTGTCTAATGCACCAAGTACCTTCACGTGCTTCATGAATCAAGTTTTCTATTTTAATAAGAGATTTTCTGTCGTCTACTTTGATGATACCCTTATATTCAGTAAGTCTAAGGAAGAATGCATCTTGCACTTGCAACAAGTTATGAGAGTATTCCATCAAGAGAAACTCTATATAAACCTAAAAAATGCACATTTATGACAAATAGTGTTTTGTTCCTAGGATTTGTCGTCTCTTCCAAATGAGTAAAAGTTGATCAAGCAAAGGTTAAAGCTATCCCATAATGGCCAACTCCTAAGATCTTACATGAAGTGTAAAGCTTCCATGGGTTGGCATCTCCTTACATAAGGTTTATTGGAGGCTTTAGCACAATAATAACACCTATTACAAGCTACAGAGTCGTATAATCATATTCTTCTATGGTATCCAATGGTGTATAATTTTTAGAAATGGTTTATGACTTGTTAGGGATAAATTGGGTTATAGTAGGGTCGGTGATGGATGAGATTTCGGCGTAGAAGGGGATATGTAAAACGAAAAAATTTGTAAATCTTATTTTATTGACTATTTTTTGGATGGTATAGAAAGAGAGGAATAATGAGGAGAGGGATTGAAGGAGAGATATCTAAAATCAAGAGTAGATTGTTGACGGAGTGTGGAGGCTACTTTAGTAAAATAAATATGTAACTTAGGGTTTTATTCTATTATTAATTATTATGTTTTATAAATAAGGAAGTTATACCCGGGCTTTTGGGGTATAACTTCTATATATATGGCTGCATGTATCTATAATTTTAATCAATAAGAAAAAAAGGGTTTTACTCTCAAAAACATCATGGTATCAAAGTCGTAGGAACCCTACGGCCAACAAAGCTGCTCGTACAGCAGAGAGAATCTCAGAATTAACTGAGGCAGAAAGCTCAGTTGTCAGGGGTGCAATCAAGACAGTCATGGCACATAGGGGAGACCTTTCCTCCCACCATTCCTTTCAGCTCACATCTCACCGACTGAATGGAAAAAATTACCTGGAGGGGGTGCAATCCGTGAAGCTCGCAATCGACAACAGGCAAACTCGGACACCTGACTGGAGAAGTGAGAAAACCAGAAACAGGCAACCCGAATCTGAGAAATTGGAGATCAGAGAATTCACTGGTTATTGCTTGGCTAATTAATTCCATGGACTCAACAATAGGTAAACTGTATCTCTTTCTCCCTACTACAAAAGATGTTTGGGATGCTATTCGTGAAAGCTATTCTGATCTTGAAAACTCCTCACAAATCTTTTAGTTGAAATCGAAATTATGAAAGTCCAAGCAAGGAGATCGTGAGGTAGCTGTTTATTACAATGAGATGTTTTTCTTCATGACGGGAATTGGATCAGTGTTACAATGATGAATGGGACTGTCCTGCTGATAGTGTGAGAATAATGAAAAAAGAGGAGAGTGATCGCATATACCTATTCTTACCGGGGCTCAACAAAGTTGTTGATGAGGTGAGATCTCGAATCCTTGGCAAAACACCTTTACCTTCTCTTCCTGAAGCCTTTTCTGAAATTAGTAGAGAAGAGAGTAGAATGAAGGTTATATTAACCAAACCAAGAGCCAAAATCGGTAGTGGATGCTGAACATTCTGCCCTAGTGTCAAAGGGAAATGAATCTGATGCATCGGGGAAGAAAAAGCTTTGGTATGATCATTGCAATAAGTCTTGACATACGCGAGAGACATGCTGGAAACTAAATGGAAAGCCACCAAACAGGAAGAAGAAAAATAGTGCTGAAAACTAAATGGAAAGTCACCAAACAGGAAGAAGAAAAATAGTGCTGACAGTCGTGTCCTCCAAGTGTCTAATGAAGAAAACATAGGCCAGCAGAATACTCAAGATGCGTCTCCATTCACTAAGGAACAAATAGAGCACCTGTACAAACTACTACAATCCCCAGAACTCCAAGAAATTCACAAAATCCTTCCTGCTCCTTGGCTCAAAAAAGTAACTTTATCTCTGCACTTCTACTGAATAAAAAAAAATTAATAATTGCACTGTGATTGCAGATTCTCCCCTTGCCTAAATTTTAGTTTCATATGAATTCAAAGACATAAACCTCGTGAATTGAACACGAATCTGATTGGTAAATCTCCTGAAAGCAAAGTTGATACACACACACACACATATCATAAGCTTTGAAATAACCAGAGTATAAAATTTTAATAACAATCTTTAAAAACCTTTGATCTCTTGTAATTGAAAAAATCTGAGATCAGTTGTTTAAACTTAGAAGCATGTTATTTTCTCCCAGTTCATTTGGCGCACTTCTATTGGCCAAAAGTTTTTTGGAGACATTATCCAAACGATCTGCCAACAGACCAAGCTTCATACAATGTTGATCTCAATTTTCTTGGTAAGTTTTGAGAAAAAATTCAAATATCAAACGTAAATCACCCATAACTTCTGGTTCTTATATCAAATTGTTAAGGTCTTTGTTAGGGTCTAGTTATGAGACTTTATTGACAGTATGAGCTTGTCAAGAGAGAACCAATGACCTCATAAAGTTTAAAGTACTCAGGAAACTTCTTTGACAAAATTTTCTGCATATCCGGTTTAGATTACAAGGCTCTTTTTACACCAAAAAAAGAAATATTTAACTACCCTAGTTGGAAGTAACTATCCTCACATCCTAGATACCACTTAAGTACCTATAGATCCCATAAACTATCAACACTTACCCCAAATATCCTAGAAACTACCTTCATACTTATTCCACTCTAGCAGCCATGTGTCACCCAAGCTATGTGTCACACAATAGGGTAGCCATGTGTTATCCAAGTTGATGTGGAACCTAGAATCAATAATGCAATCCAAAACTCATATAATTTCAATTAACACTAAAGACTTAATTCTCAAATAAACCCTCCCTACTCAACTCACAATCAACTATGATTGAAAGAAAGGTAATAGGAATTTATCTCTGCACTTCTAAGCATTAATCCTAGTCAAACTAGCACCTGGATCATAGATTCGAGAGTTACTGATCATATGACAGGCTGCTCCAAATTGCTTTCCACTTACACTCCTTGTGCAGGAAACAAAAAGGTTAAGATTGTTGATGGCTCCCTCTCAGCAATTGCTAGGACTGAAGCAGTTAAAATTTCTCCATCCATAACTCTTCATGATGTTCTCCATGTCCCTAAATTATCCTGTAATCTTGTGTCCATTAGTAAAATTACTAACAACCTTAATGTCGTGCTATATTTGACCCTTCTCGATGTGAGTTTCAGGACCCTTCTCGATGTGAGTTTCAGGATATAATCTCGGAGAGGACGATTGGCATTGCTAGGAAAAGTGGAGGTCTCTATTTCCTCGAAAATGTGACTAACTCGGACCGACAAAAAGCGCCGAGTACTTGCTTTAAATCTGTTTTTTATTCAAATAATATTATGCTTTAGCATTATAGATTAGGACATCCAAGTTTTCATTATTTAAAACAATTGTTTCCAGACTTATATAAAAATAAGAGTGCATCTTTATTTGAATGCAAATTTTGCGAATAGGCTAAGCATCACCGTTCTTTTTTCCCGAAGCCATATCATGCATCCAAACCATTTATTTTAATTCATATTGACGTATGGAAGCCATCTCAAGTCCCTACAATGTCTGGAAAAAAATGGTTTATTAGTTTTATCGGTGATCACACACGGGTTAATTAGGTATATCTGTTAGAAGACAAATATGAAGTAAAAGAGATTTTTAAAGTTTTTTATACCATGGAGGAAACACAATTTCAAGAAAAAATCCAAGTGTTCTAGAATGATAATGGTAAAGAATATTTTAATAAAATCTTAGGAAATCCTTTCTTAGAAAAAAATATAGAACACCAAAGCTCTTGCCCCGATACACCCCAACAAAATGGCATTGCTGAACAGAAAAACAAACATTTTCGGAAGTAACTAGGGCACTATTATTCACAAATCAGGTCCCAAGTATCTTCGGGGTAAGTTATTTTAACTGCTGCATATATTATAAATTGAATGTGTAGCAAGATTTTGAACTTTCAGACTCGTTTAAGTGGTGTCCAGAACAATTTTTTCCTACTTCTCGATTGATTTCTGACTTATCATAGAAAGTTTTCAGGTGGAGTGCCTTTGTTCATGTTCATGACCAAACTCAAGGAAAATTAGAGCATCGGGCTAGGAAGTGTATTTTTGTAGGTTATACACCAACCCAAAAAGGATACAAATGTGATGATCCTAATGCAAAAAAAAAAAAAAAATTACTTCAATGGATTTTACCTTGTTTGAGAACCAACCATTTTTTAACACTCATCTTCAGGGGGGAGAAGGAAAATGAAGATTCAGAGGTGTTTGGTAGCTCTCAACCCATAAATAATCTTGATCAATCGGAAAACACAAAATTTATGATAAACACTAAATTATGTGAACCTATGGAGCCTTCTCATAATATTACTGGAAATGAAAACGGACAAAAAGCAGGTACAAAAGAACTTCTTGTCTATTCCAGGAGGAAACTGAATCAAGGAAATGAGACTGAGACCTCTCAACACTGTCAAGAGTCTGAGCCTCAGACAATTCAGAACTTCATCGAAATACCAGGTAATCCTCATATAGAACCAACCACATAAGCTTGCCCAATTTTGATTTCATACATTCAGAGTCTAACATGTCTGAACTTGATCTTCCCATCGCTAAACGTAAAGGTGTCAGAAGTTGTACCAAGTATCGTATGTCCAACTTTGTATCCTATAAGAGTCTGTCACCAATATTTTCTGCATTTATTTCACATTTGTCTAGTGAAGAGATTCCAAAGACTGTACATGATGCTTTACAGGTCCCTGAGTAGGAGGCAAACCTTGAAGAAATGAGGGCCCTTGAGTAAAATGGCACATAGGAGGTAATGGAACTGCCAAAGGAAAAGAAAACAGTTGGCTGTAAATGGGTGTTCACAACAAAATACAGATCAGATGGATCTCTTGATAGATATAAGGCATTGATTACCTTGAAACCTTTGCACCTGTGGCAAAACTAAATACAATCAGAGTGCTACAAACAATTACAGCCAACCTAGACTGACCCCTATAACAGCTAGATCTTAAGAATGCATTTCTCAACGGTGACTTAAAAGAAGAAGTTTATATGAACCCACCCCCAAGCTTTGAAAAGAAGTATGGATCAAAAGTATTTAAACTTAAAAAATCTCTATACAAGCTGAAACAATCACCAAGCGCTTGCTTTGAGAGATTCACTCAGCTTGTGAAGAAACAAGGATATACCTAAGGCCAGGCAGATCATACCATGTTCACAAGGCATTCAGCTGACGGAAAGATAGCTGTCCTCATAGTATATGTTGATAATATCATTCTCACTGGGGATGACATAATTGAAATGAAGCAATTGAAGAAACACCAAACTTCTGAGTTTGAAATTAAAGACCTGGGCTCATTAAAATACTTTTTTGATATGGAAGTAGCCCGATCAAGGAAGAGCGTTGTTGTGTCACAAAGGAAATACATGATGGACCTACTTAAAGAGACAGGTATGAGTGGTTGTCGTCCTGTTGAAACACCATTTGATCCAAATCAAAACTTGAAAACGATAAGGGAGGGTCAATAGACACATCACGGTACCAGAAACTTGTTGGGAAGTTGATCTATTTGTCACACACACGACCAGATATTACTTTTGCCGTGAGCCTAGTAAGCCAGTTCATGCATTCTCCTCATGAAGAACACCTTGAAGCAGTCTATCGTATCTTTAGGTACCTAAAGAGCTCTCCGGAAAAGGGGCTATTTTTCTGGAAAAATGAGCAACGAAAAATTGAAGTTTATATAGATGTTAACTGGGTAGGATTCATCATGGACAGAAGGTCAGTATCAGGATATTGCACATTTGTATGGGAAAATCTAGTGACTTAGAAGTAAAAAAGAAAATGTGGTGGCTCGTAGTAGTGCTAAAGCTGAGTATAGATCAATGGCTCATGGAATTTGCAAAATGGTTTGGCTCAATCGAGTGATGAAGGAACTAAGAAGACATGTGACTATGCCTATGAAATTGTATTGTGGTAACAAGACAGCTATAAATATTGCTCACAATCCAGTCCAATATGATAGAATAAAGCATGTGGAAATTGACCAGCATTTCATAAAGGAAAAAATTGAAGATGGAACCACTTGTATGCCATTTGTCCCAACTTCACAGCAAACGGCAGATATTCTTACAAAGGGATTGTCCAGACCAAACTTTGAGTTTCTTGTTAGCAAGTTGGACATGACAAATATCTTTGCACCAACTTTAGGAGAAGTGACAGAGTGTAGAGGCTACTTTAGTAAAATAAATATGTAGCTTAGGGTTTTATTCTATTATTAATTATTATGTTTTATAGATAAGGAAGTTGTACCTAGGGTTTTGTGGTATAACTTCTGTATATATGGCTGCATGTATCTATAATTTTAATCAATAAGAAAAAAGGGTTTTACTCTCAAAAACATCAATTGTTTCATTATTTTGGTTATTTGATTTTGAGATATGACATATATAGGATGAATTTTAGGAATATAGTATTAATTCTAACAGATGTATAAATATTCTATAAATGGGTGGCACTCCCTTAGCACCGTTGATTTAATATACTTTTTACACTTATTATTTCAAAATAAAAAGATTCTCAAGAAGATTATCTCAAATGCTTATGTTATTGATTTCATATCAACGAGGTGACCCTCCTATTTCTCATTATAGTTTTTCCTATTCGCTTATCAGACACTTCGAACATCAAGGATGCGATTGAAAATATTGTTGATTATTAAGAGGTAACAATAAAGAATGGTACTTATAACAAGTTTCTACTAAAATAGAAAGAATGTTCTCAAATTGATTGCATTTGGATCACAGAAGCTGACTTCAAGAAGCTCTATCATGCATGCTACATCCAATTTCAACTCAATGCAGTCAAGTTCCCCGCCCCCTCCCCGAGGAGAATTGATGGCGCATAGCCATAATAGGAAATTATTATTTAGAAATTTACCGCTTGGTTATTTTTCAGATTATTATATTTGTTTTCCTTATCTTTAGCATTCCTATTATATTAGAAATAATGTTCCTAAATTAGTTTTGATATTTCCTAATACAGTTTAAGACATTTCTACTTAGCAACCTATAAATAAGGTTGTAATCTCTTAAGAGGATCATTCAAGTATTCAATTATACTTTTGAGAATTTCTCATAATTAATTGCTTGACTCAATCAACTCCTAAGTATGATGCCTAAGAATCCTAAGTCTGATATTTAGATATTTCTCTAATTTTTTAGTAGACAAATTAGAGACAAATCAATCTCAATTTGTCCTCTATCAAAACCACAAGGAGTCCTAAAAGAACAAAATGAAAAAGCACAGAAAAATACATAACAATCAATGATGTTTCCCAGTCTCCTGGCAAAATAGCCAAAGAGACATCCCAAAAACCCATTAGTCTCGGCCCACAAAAGAAGCAAGAATCAATCTATCCCAAAGGAAAGATGCCGGAGTAACAATCTCTAAAAAGCTTAGCACTATGCTCCAGCAAAAACACTCACAAACCAGCAAAGATATCCCTCCAAACTATTAAGCTTCTTTACTTAGCCCACCTCCACTAACCCCGAGGGAAGAAGAGGCAACCCACATATAGCCAATAGTAGTATATAACCTAAAGAAAGCCTCCTAGCCACCTCAAAGCAAAAAGAGATGCTGATGAAAAAATTGCTGCATATTATAGTCAAATATTAGTAGATAATAGATGAAGAAAGACCAGAATTACCTCAAAAAAAATGCACAATTCGTCCGCTAATGGTACAATACTGAATCCCATAGCCAACCCATTCAAACTTGCTGATAAAGCAGTTATAGCCATGCTAAGTGAATAAACATACTCCCTGCAGTATATTCATAGTTCTTCCACCATTAGAACAAGAAAAAGTGTCCTGTCTCTATAAATTCATAATGCTTATCCACAGACACAAAACATCTCAACTTCCAATATTATGCTTTTCTCATGATCTTCACACAGATCAGGCAAAAAGGATGAACAAAATTTCACCATGCATCAAAGTAGAATTATGAGATTAGAAATACTAAAAATAGAGAGAGAGAGAGAGAGAGAGAGAGAGAGAGAGAGAGAAATTTCAGTAAGTTTCATGAGTTGTTTGCCTACCTAGAAGTACCATCCTAATAGCCAAAGATATAATTAGAGAGAATAAAATTGAGTATCTTGCTCGAGGATCTTTGTTAATGTTGTTTCATGCTTGTCTTCTGCTATGTCAAATTTTCTTATAGAAGATTCAAGGATGATGTTTTATTCTCCGCACTTGTATTTACTTTATGTTCATCTTAACAATACTTCTTTTTCTATCCACAAAAAGAATATATATATATATATATATATATATCTTGCCTGAGATAGAGAAAAGCAGAATTTTCACAAATGAAGACCTGACTACTTAAAAAAGAAGAGAAAAAAAAAGGGACGAAAAGATGCCTTAGGAAACGAGATTATGTCCCGTAATCTTCATGTTTTCTTCTTAAGGTGGAAGAAAGATATAAAAGATAACCAATAAGCTAATGAGTAAGTAGAAATTAAAAAACTTCTTAATGAAAATATTTGCCTTTGTCATGATTCTAGAGGTTTTTTCATTTTCTAACCTCCTGCAGCTGTTCCAGTGGAATAAACCTTATGACAAGCGAGCTAGTGAGCATCAATATGGAGGAAGAGATGATCAAAGGGTTGGCTAAGTGACAGGTAACTGACCTTTTAGAGTGGCCTATACTTATTTGCTTGACCCATTGGTAAAAACTCCTCGAATTGGTTTTAATGATGCTCACTAGCCCATTCCCTTCTATTCCTCTATATTGAGGCTCACTACCCCAACTGCCCTAAGATTAATACCCTCAAACACCTGTAGGAGGGTTAGAACATTAAAAACTGCTCAAAATCATGACAAAGAACAATGACAATGTCATCAACAAACTAAAGGTGGGAGACTTTTGGGATTCAATGGCGCATAGGATCACTAAATGCCTTGATAGTTAAAATGGAAACTTGTTAATCCCTTGGAAATTTGGTCACTATTTCAAACATGCCTTTATAGTTCTTCCACTTTACTATTTCTCACTATTTTAACTTCCTTGAAGTGTCATGGAGAGTTTTGAGCGGATGATGAGGAATTTTCTTCAGTTTGATTCGAGTGAGTCTTTGAGAGATCACTTCGTTAGATGGGATGTGTGCTATTCAACAAAGAAATACCGAGTTTGGTTATTAGGAACTTTTGAGTAAAACGGTGCCCTTTTTAGCAAAACAATTATGGCATTTTCCTTCAGAACCTAATTCTTCGCAGCGAATGGTGATGAAGAGTAAGCTCAGTTGCATCGAAATGGCTGAGACTCCAAAATTAGCTGGAAAAATGAAAAATGCAGAATTATAGGCTTCAATATAATGATTTGACTCGGTTGATTTTCTTCTGAGTCCCCAACAAAAGCACTCAAACCATTCACTCTCAAGTACAAACATAACGAAACCCACCCCTGAGATGTGTACTTTTCATTATCTAAGTTAGGAACTTCTATTATCTGAAACTCTTGAAATTCGAGGCACTCTACATCCTTCTCATCAAACCATGGGTATCCCTCCTTTGGTCTAGCCAACTCAGACTTTGAAGTTGGCCAAACAACAGCTTCAATGTTCTGAACATTAAATCCTATATGAAAATCATCCCGTCTAACTACAACATTCATATTTTCATTCTCAAGGTCAAATACATCCTGTCCAAGCGTGATTTGGATGTGAGACCAGATATGAATATGCCAAGTTGAATGTGTTTCACTAAACATCTTCCTTGAGAATGAAAAATATAGAAAAAGACTGGAAAATTCTGTACATAACCATAAAAATATTAGCTAGCAATGAGAGGATTTTGTAAGACTTTTGGAAGAGGATGCAGACAAGAGAATCTCTGTAGCCATCTTCAGCATGGGGAGAATTCGCTGCTGCTCTATATCTGGCAATTCGCCGTGCCCGTGAAATTGCTTCAGCAGGCAGCTGTTTCTCAATATTAGAAATCACCTCCCAATTATGTTTGACAGAAATCATAAAAGATTTGTTTTGGGACATCTTAACAGCTGATCTTTTAAGTAACTCCACAGAAGAGTACCCAAGTAATGACAGCATATTCTCATAAGCATTCACATACCGCAACCAGACAATAACAACACCTACTAACTTTTGCATTGACAATCTGGGAGCTGAAATTAGATAACTAATTCTGCTTGCAGCTAGCCTCCACAGTTCTCAACCACTTCTCCTATACTTATATTCTTTTGAAATCAGCTGTCCAACTGCTAGGAAAACAGGGAAATCAGAAGGAGAAAATAACAAACTTAATTCTGGAACGCAAACCTAAATCTACAAGCTGGAGATCATTTAATACAATGTAAGTGAAGATGTCATCTGAAAAGCACACATGGTTCATGCAATCATTCCTCTTATACACAATCTCAAGACCACTGCTATTGATGAAAAGAGAGCTCCTATTTGAAGGTAGAAGAAATGCACCAACAAGTCCCTCTAGAAGACATCCATGTCCAGAATCTCAAGACCCTGCAGTAAGCACCTTTATTTCCAACCAGTATGCAATTGAATAGTTGAAAATAGGGAACTGAAATTGCAGATTGCCGCTAAGGATCTGCAGATGACAGTGTTTGAGAATAAGATTCAAAAGAGAAGTCTTGAACGAGTTTCTTGAAGAACTTGTAGTCAACATCCTTTCCAAAGCATCACGTAAAGCACAACCCTGAAGGTTTTTAAAAGAAAAGAAAAAGAAAAAGAAAAAAGGTCAGGGTGGTGATCCAGCAGAACATAGTTACCCAAGTAGGCAACTCATCCAGTGAAAAAATTACGCCGTTCATCAGAGAAGAAATTGCTAACAAAGAAAAAAATTAAAAAAAGAAATGATAGACATACAGGTGCTCCTAGAGAACTCTCCTTGTCTTTGTTACGATGGAATCATTATGCTACTTGTTATAATTCTACTATGGGGCTTTTAGGAAGTTTCACAAAGGATTTGTTATCCTCTTTACTTGCATTTTCTCCTTTTCCCTCATTTCTGATACTACTACTTTTTCTATTAAAAAAAACGTTTCGTCGCCAATGAAATAACAAAAACAACATTTTTCAAATAACTTGACAATTGAAAACACTGGATAATATCCACTAACATCAGAGAACGATTTCCTACCTAAAAAAGACAAAATAATCAACGTAACAAAATACCTGAGGATCAATCGCTAAAATAGCATTCTTCATCTCCTCCAATGCTCCATCACGTAATTTCCTCTTCCTTGCCGAACCCCTTCCCTCCTCTTCTCTTCAATATGCGAAAAAGGAAACACAAAAACCAATAATACTCGCTATAAAACAAGCACATTAAACATATAAAATATTCACTCATGCAGATACGCACGTACTGAAACTGGATTACCTAGTTGAAAGCGTGATATGCAGGCCGCGAATTTCGATTGAGAAGGCAGGAGCTGACCAGATGGAGAAGCGAACAATTAAGTGCTCGATAACAAATTCTTTGAAGCAAAAATTATCAAACTGATCAACGAGCGGATCTAAGACTGAAGTATCGAAACGGAGGTTCTCTGCGGTCGCAAGGGAATTGGTAAACGCCAATTCCAGTTGTAGATTAGGCTCCTCTTGCAGCCACGGGTGCAAACAGAGAACATAGTCTCTGTCGGATAATGTCGTGGAGCAACATGTTGCAGAGTCGCTATTCGGAATAACACGAGGAGAGTAACGTACAGTGAGATTGAAGTTTTGCCATAAGAGAATATGAGAATTCTCGATTAATCCGCTTACTTCAGCTGAGCGGGAAAATTGAGCGAGACGCAAGAGATCATGGCAGCGTTAGTTATCATGAAACGAATAGAAAGAAATAGAACAATTCGATTTCTATGACGGTTTCACGGACAGATTTTGTAATTGAGGAGGTGGAACTCGTGTTTGCTACGGCTCGGAAATTTTTTTATTTAGTTGATATTTTTACAAAAATTTTACAAATATATATATATAATGGTAAATTAAAAATTGAAAGAAATAGAAAGCAAACATTCAATTAACTACCAAACAAGTTTGGAATTTATTCTTTTGAAGTAGTTTCTTCATTCAAATTAAAACAAATATTCAATTTAATCCACATAACTATAACATGTTTTACATTATAGTACTAAATATTTTAAAAAAAAAATTAACTTAAAGTCATACATGGTTAAATTTTTAAACAAACATAAAATGTTTATGAAATAACTTCTTTTCACTTAAAAATATAAATCCTAATTATGTTTATTAATTTTAGTCTGCATATTCCTTTAATACTCATCACCAAAATCACAAATCATTAACTCATACATGATAATATCAATATTTATATCAATTCCCGATAGTAATTCATTGTGATATAACAACTCCTCTTTTTTTATCTACTTAGTCTCACAATGTTGGAGCTAAAAGTTGTGGTTATTGAAGATAGAGGCTTTTTAGCGGAATGGGAGGAAGAGGGGCCGAACATTGATAGAAATTATTAGAAGATATGAACATTTTATCTTTAATCTAACTTGTTTTATAAATTCAGATACATATATCGTGATTGAAAATGGAGGTTATTTAATATAAAGGATGAAAGTTGAAAACGGTGTTAGATTTATATTTATTTTTCTCTCTCTATATTATATTTTTTTATTTAAACATTTTGATTGAAAAATATAAGTTATAAGCTAATGAGTTTTAAGTTTTTTGTTAGCTATAAGTTTCATTTGGAGATCTAAAATAATGAATTTTGTGTGTATATATACGTATATATTATATTAACATCCCGGGTCCGGGATAATTAGTTTTGTGATAGTAAATTTAAATTTTCTTAAATAATAATGATAGTTCATTTTTTTTTATTTAAAAAGGGTACAAAAATAATTATTAAGGAAAAATCTATGTATTTTAAACACTTTTGAAACAAATTTCAAGAATCATGGTCAATCTATAAATAAGGGAGATACGCTTGAAAGAAAACTTGAAAAATCATGACTTCTTTATAAATTAAAAAAAAATGAGCCATGTAAGACAGCTATGTTAGCAACATGATGAATCAGGGTGCGCAGCGTGACAGCTAAGTCAGAAGGCGTGTCCATGCGAGAGGCCATACTAGCAATCCACGTGCCTGAAAGATCGAACGATTTAGATTCACTCCCACTCGCACGAACGGCTCGATTGCAATCCTATTCGAATTCGAATGGACAGTTCTGATCGCCCACATGAAGGATCCAAAGGTCGCATGATCAACAGCCAAGATTCGTAGGATTGACCGATCAAACGATCTGAGACGCACACAAGAAGGAAATGTGGGATATCCTAAATAGGCTGGATTGGAAGGCCTTCGTTGCGCCATGTGGACCTGCACAAACGACAAAGATTAAAATAGGAAAGGTATTTAACCACTCTTTTCTGTCGGCCTCCCAAACCTTAGTTGCCAGGTTGACTGGAGAAGAAGACGAACAAAGAGCGTCGGAGGGAGCTCAGACGCCAAAGAACAGCAACACCGCCGTGCCAAAAGTCAAAACTGATGCTGGTAAGCACGATTTTTTTCCTCTTTTTTCATTCTTGATCCTTTTTAATTAATTTCACCTTAGATATGCCCAAGAACACCATAAGCCGAGGAAGAGAGACGTGCGCCTACAATCAGAAGTCAGACTCGATTTCGGTAAGTTGTCCACCTTCCTTTGTTCCTTATCCTTCTGTAGACACTAATAGCGTGTTGTTTTCTTCGTCTAGCAAAGAAATGAGAGAAAA